CCTCATACACACACACACTGTCATGCCCCCAACACACTGTCACCCACAACAATGTTGTGTCACCATACTCCCACATACACACTGTCAGCCCCCACATACACACTGTTAGAATACCTTCACACTGTTACCTCCCCACACATTGTCACCCATCCCTACACTATCATAACCCCCCTCCCCACACTGTCACCCCCTTCATGCATCCACAGTCACATTAACCACTCCTAATCCTGTTAATCTCACCCCTCCAAACTCACTTGCTCTCACTCTGCCACACTCACCCCCTAAATCTGTCACACTCACCCTCTCTCACTCTGTCAGTTCTCCCCCCAACCCTGCCACACCTATCCTGTCACATTAATGCATTTAATCCTGTCAACTGTGCCACACTCACCCTGTAACATTAATTCCACTTAATCCTGTCACACTAGTTCCTCCTACCATTCCACAATTGCCCTGACACACTTACCTAAACTCGCCCTTTCACACTCCATCATCAAACCATGTCATACTCCCTCTCCCTCATTCTCTTTTACAACCCACCCTGTCCCGTTTACCCTCTTCACCATGTCACACTCTCCCTGCCACTGGTACCCCTTTACTTACCTTGTCACAGTCACAGGCTGAAGACATTCATTATACACACAGAGTCAGGAAACATAGCTTTGTCATAAACACAATGCACAAAGGCCACAGGCAGACTCCCATACACACTACATACTTCAAGCAGCTAACCCATACACATACAGTCCCAGACAAAAACGCAAACATGCTCACAGAGACATACATTCACACACACACACAAGGATACTCTTTGTCAGACATACTCTCAGGCACATACACAGGTAGACAGTGCATCAAACTCTGTTTTTTTTCACTTTGGTGTTAGTGGGCCACATAAAGTCTAGAGCCTCCTCTGTTGGGAAATATTTTTTAAATCTATTTCTCTAAGTCTTCTAGCTAATTTTTTAACTCACCACAGTTTGCTGTCGAGTCAATGCTTCATGTTGTGTTACGTGGCTCCCTGAAAAAGGAATGGTTAAAAGTGGTTAAACAGGGGGGGCGTGTCTAGGCACGGAGAGAGATGGCCGCATGAGCTCTTAGCTCCGCACCACGAGCAAGGCAAAAGCTTTCCTAAGTGGGAACCCTGCAAGAAAACAACCTATATCCCGAGGATGTCGCAGACCAAAACCCGCCGGCACCAAGATAAGCCCGACAAGATGAGCTTTTTCGCTCAGAAGAAAGGGGCAGCTCTGGCAAAGCAAGCAGACACAGCAGGCCATCAAGATGGCGCCGACCACTCCGGGGGGAGCAGCCCAAGATCAGAGGCGGATTCACTGCATGACGGAGAACCGCTCACAGCTGCCTTCCTAAAGAGAGCCCTGGACGAACAATCACGAAGGCTGGTTGCTACCTGGCAATCCAGCGTGGCAGAACTTAAACGGGACCTCCAAGATATCGGGTCTCGCACAACACACGTGGAAGCAAAGATGGAGGACTTAGTCGACGCGCACAACGCGTCCACAGAGCACCTAAAATCCCTCACAGACCAGATCCAGAAATGTGAAGCAAAACTCATGGATCTAGAGGATCGCTCTAGAAGGAGCAATATCAGGCTGAGAGGTATCCCAGAGACAGTCCTCCCGGCAGACTTACCCAGTTATGTGCACAGCTTCTTCAAACTCCTGACACCAGAAATACCCACAGACATGTTGCTGCTAGACCGTCTGCATAGGGTGCCTAAACCTCAACATATTGCCACGTCCTTACCCAGGGATGTGTTATTGAAAGCTCACTACTTTCATGTTAAAGATCTCCTGATGAGAAGAAGCAGAACCGTGAAAGATCTACCGGCCGAATACACAAGCATCAAAATGTTTTCAGACCTTTCAGCAGCCACCCTGAAACAACGGAAAACCTTCCAACAGGTGACAGAAACCCTACGCGCCAACCGTATCCTGTACCGCTGGGGCTTCCCTGTCCGACTGATCGTTTCAAGAAACGGAACTACCACCGCAGTACAAACAGCAGAAGAAGGCATACACCTCCTGCATCAATGGAACCTAACCATCATAGGCGACACGCAAGCTCCAAAACCACCGAGACAAGTGGTCAAGGACTGGCACATCGCCGACTGAGGCCTTACCGCAAGTATACTCGCTTTGGCGGCCACCATGTTCCTAACAGACTCGCAATTAGCATTGGCTTCTGGCTATTAATACCACAAGGGTCAGCCCACTAGAGCCTGAAAGTCGCTGATACACTTAGCTACACGGCAGTTTGCAGTACGCAAACAAATGTATATTTTTTATGCCATCTTTACTTGTTCATATTGTTTGTAGGATGTACTAGCAACATAGCAAAGTATATGACCTAATTGTTTATATATTACTGTTAATTGCCACCTCCTTGAAGCATGAGTAACCCCCGGGCCACACACTATTTGATGGTCGCTAAAGACCGATAAAGTACCCCTTAAACCAGGGACACCAAACGTAATACAGCAAACAACCCACCCATGGGCCTAGGCTGCAGTTACACCCAAGCAGCTAGATAAAACCTTACCGCAAATATACCCGCTTGGGCGACCTACCCAATATCATTATGCCCAGGATTAACGTAAACTCCTAGCCACCATTACATTTAAAGTCAGCTCGTTAGAGACTGAAATATGCAACTTGCAATACGCAAATAACTGCCAATCTTCATGTCGTTTTATGTTTGTTCTTATTGTTTGCAGGGTGTACTAGCAACAGTGCAAAGTATATGACCTTAGAGTCTATCTCTTACTGATACATGATACCTCTCTGAACTTACGTAACCCCCTGGCCACACTCTATTTACCCGCCGACAAGACCCAACAACCTACCCCCTAAACCAGGGAAACCAATAGTAATAAAGTGAAGGACTCATGGGTCCAGTCTGCAGACACGTTCGGGCGGCAGGGAAGCCCCCCCCGGGTATAAAACCCATTCGAGTTTCTGACCCCCACCCCCTTCCTAGAATGAAGCACCAAAAGGGTTTCTCACCATATTTACATAAGGTGCCTTTCACATATCATATGGTTCATTTAAGGCTCACACAGGACCACACCTGACCTAAGGATGCTCCTTAAAAGACCATTTGGCACCACACATCGTTAGCCTGCTCAGGCCACCACCTGTCTACCATCTCCGATCCCACGCTCCCCACGGCGCTGATCAGCAGCGCCTTGCACCGAGATCGGGCCACCATGTATATACTTTGGTTAACTAAGTTTATTTCTTACTATCCCTGTTTCACTCCCCTGTTGGGATACCACCCTCCCTACCCTACCCAAACATCCGAGCAAAAACGTGCCGTACAAAGTGGAACCCTTGGGTCCTCGGTTTGTGAACAACAGCATATAGTACACCTCACTTCTCAAGACACTGCCCTGACCGATAGCGCTCTGCCTTATACCATACACTGATAGTTTATTCCCATAATGTCAGAGGGCTCAACATGCCACACAAAAGGCATATGCTACTTCAAGAAGCTCGGAAATCAAAAGCAGACATACTGTGTCTCCAAGAGACTCACTTTCCCAAAGCCAAAATCCCACAATTTGGAATGAAACATTTTCCCCATCAGTTCCACGCCACGCACTTGTCCAAATCTAGAGGAGTCTCCATATATATACATAACTCAGTAGCCTTTGAACTACTACACTCCATTTCAGATGATCAGGGCAGGTACCTGATTGTTGTCTGTTTGTTGAATGATGTACAACATACAATAGTAAACCTCTACGCACCTAATGAAAATCAGAAAAACTTCTTGACCAGTACCCTCCTGAAAGTGGCAGCTGCACAGAGAGGCAACACTATTATATGCGGGGATATAAATCATGTATTAGACCCAACCCTAGATACCTCTATGCCCTCCTCCACCAACCGACAGAAATCCCTCAAACCGACCTGCAAGGCCATAACACAATTGTTGATGAAATTCAACCTCTATGACTGCTGGAGATTGCTCCACCCTCAGGATAGAGAGTACTCATATTACTCTAAACCCCACAAAACACACTCTAGAATAGATGTAATACTTATAGCAGGACCATCTCTCAACCTACTTCAAAAATGTCACATTGGCGACATCATATGGTCAGATCATGCCCCAATACTCGCTACATTTAGGGATAACTTCTCTTTTAGAGGTTGCAACCCATGGCGCCTCAACTGTTCCCTCTTACACGACGATAAATTCAGCTCAGACATGGATATAGCACTCAAACAATATTTCTCCGAGAATGAAACACCAGGGATGTCCCCAGCAGTGATATGGAGAGCCCATAAGGCCGTAATGCGAGGACTGTTTATACGAAGGGCCTCTTTTCTAAAACGGACCTCCCAAACTAAATACCTTAATCTATTAAGGAAATTAAGAGACGCTACAGCGTCCCACCTTCTCCACCCAAACCCAAAAGATGCGGCAACTATTGCCCAAACACAATCAGACCTCAACGACTTTAATATAGCAAACACAACCCGAACACTACAAAAACTGAAAGCCAAAGAATACTGCTTGGGTAACAAAGCTAGCTCGCTCCTGGCCACTCGACTCAGGGACGTGCAGGCACAAACCAAAATAGCATACCTCACTTCCCAAGATGGACAGAAAATAATCCAGCCACAACAAATCAGCGAACTTTTCGCAGACTTTTACAGCAAACTCTATAACCTAAAAGATGACGCTACAGTACACCAGCCCTCAAAGGGAGAAATCTCTACCTTTCTAGACAAAGTCCGCCTACCTACACTCTCAGCGACCCAACAGGAGTTCCTGGCTGAACCCATCTCTCAAACAGAGGTGCTCAGGGTTATACAAAATCTGCCGCCAAACAAAACCCCAGGCCCAGACGGTCTGCCAAACACATATTACAAGAGGTTCTCCTCCATACTCGCCCCCCGGCTAACGTCACTTTTCACTTTTACCACAACACAAGAGAACATACCACCAGACATGCTCACGGCCAATGTGGCCACCCTGCCCAAACCTGGCAAATCACCAACCCAATGCGCGAATTTCAGACCGATCTCCTTATTGAATTCGGACGTGAAGATCCTGGCCAAAATCTATGCCAATAGAATGACATCTATACTGCCGACCATAGTACACTCAGACCAAGTTGGCTTTGTACGAAGCAGACAGGGAGCTGACGGCACACGGAAAGCACTCGCGTTACTACATACAATGCACAGGCGCTTCCCCAACAGTCTCCTTTTGTCCTTAGACGCTGAGAAGGCCTTCGACCGCCTGCACTGGTCGTTCCTGCAGGCGGTCTTGGTCAAATTTGGATTCCCTACACAATTTATCTCCATGATCAAATCTTTATACAGTAACCCTGAAGCCCGGGTCTTCACGTCTGGATTCCAATCGAGGCCTTTTCCCATCACTAACGGCACCCGCCAGGGGTGTCCTCTCTCACCACTCCTATACATTCTAGCTTTAGAACCACTAGCCGAATCCATACGCACATCACCAGAGATAACGGGAATAAAAATAGGTGGGTCGGAATACAAACTAAATCTTTTCGCTGACGATATCCTCCTAACCCTAACGAACCCACACAAATCTTTACCAGCATTTCACAATTTACTACAACAATACAGCCATTGCTCTTATTACAAACTGAACCTATCTAAAACACAGGCCATGGGGGTGAGTATGGAGGACGACTATCTGTCCAACTTGAAGAGTCAGTTCCCATATGATTGGAGGAAGGACCACCTCACATACCTGGGCATTAAACTCCCGCACACCACATCCAACTTGTACCATCTAAATTATGTTAAACTCAGTAAGGAGATCACTAACACCCTCCTTCACTGGCGGAATAAATTTATATCCTGGTCAGGACGAATAGCAGCGGTAAAGATGGTAATATTACCCAAACTACAATATCTATTTAGAACACTCACACTGACACTACCGTCCACCTACTTTATATCCCTCCAAAAACAAATTAACCTATTCATATGGCAAGGGAAACGTCCGAGAGTTGCCCTATCTACACTGCACCGACCAGTGCAGATGGGTGGCATGAGCCTCCCTAACGTGAAACTTTATCACAAGGCTGCAGTATTGGCCAGCCTTCTCCCCATCCACCAAAACAAGTCCCCCCCTCAGTGGGTCTCCATAGAACAACATTGGTTGCAATTGCAAGACATACAAACAACATTATGGATGTTACCCCACTCAAGGGCAAACATCACAAAGGCACTCCCTGCTACCTTAACAACATTGAAAATCTGGGATGACACCCGCAAACTCCTGTGCAGCTGCCACCCAACCCCCTTATCAACCCCAATTAAAACCCTGACACATAAAATACCTGATTTCAACTTCAAAATATGGAACAGATGTGGGGTGTTTTACGTACACTCCCTAATAGAGAAAGGAGAATTAGCCTCATTCGACCATTTAAAAACCAAGTATACACTGCCGAATGTAGCACACTTCTCTTACCTCCAACTAAAATCCTGGTGGAAGACCCAGGCTCCACACCCCATATCACACACCACTAACACCCTAACCAACTTCGAAAAGAGCATCATGGCAGACACGCCAGCAGTAAAACCCATCTCAACCATATATAAGCTATTACTGCCCCAACAGGGAATAAAATCCCTCGCGTGTGTACGCTCCTGGGAAAAAGATCTAGACCAAACACTGCCAGAGAAGACCTGGCTGGCTGTAGCAAATGCGACCAGAGGCCTGACGTTTTGCGCTTCACATTTAGAGACAACTCGTAAACTCTTTTACCGTTGGTACATGGTCCCAACACGCCTAGCCACTATGGACCCACAAATGTCCAGCACCTGCTGGCGCTGCAAACAAGAAGCAGGCACTTTTTTACACACTTGGTGGAAATGTACAAAACTCCAGCCGTACTGGAAAGAAGTCATTTCACTCATTCACCAACACACCTCAATTATGATACCAAACTCCCCCAACGCCTTGTTACTATTCCTGTGGGAAGCCGAATACCCAAAACCACTTAAATACCTAATTCTACACATACTAGTAGCCGCCCAAAATCTTATCGCAAAAAACTGGCTATCACCCACAAATGCGACAATGCGAGAATTAATCAAGCACTTGTCCCAAATAGGGAAATTCGAATCAAGCTTATCCCGCATCCCACCAAATAAGAGCTGGAGGCATGAAGTATGGGAAAACTGGGAACTGAAACACCCGACCTGATGATAATATCCCTATAGAGCAGCCCAACCTTAGCGTTCAAACACACACAGACTACAACCAAGATAGCCATAGCAACACTAGACAGGCAGCAACTGGTAACTATCAGAACTATGTAAAGTGTTCAGAACCATGTAACGTTGATTAGTATCACTGTTGAAGGATGTATGTTCCACTGCAAATACCCCCTCCCCTTCTTCCTTTCTGTACCCCCTATAACTTTTTACTTTATATTCGTATATCTATGACAAAATAAAAATTGTCAAATTGAAAAAAAAAAAAAAGTGGTTAAACAAATGGTTAAACAAAACACATCTTTGTATATATCTTATTAAGAGAAAGGCAATCGAATATGTGATTTTATTTATAGCTGCTGTGTGCTAGTGCTATTTAAATATAAAATACACTTGGGAATTGATATACTTAAAGGAAGAGTATAAGTACCATAACCACTGCATTGCACAGTAGTGGTTAAAGAGACAAGAGTGCCCTGTTGTTCTCTCCAATGTAAGTAGTCAAACTCTTTGCTAACAGCATGACTTATTAAAGTCCAACAGGCACCAGTCACGTACTCAATGAAGAGTCTGAGGTTCTCCTGAGTTAAACCCTGCACTGCTAGGCTTATCTTGGAGCAGCAAGTGTCTGGTTCTCATAGAGGCAACGAATGGCTCCTGGCGAACATCTGGTAAAAAGTAAGACAATTAGCATTGTAGTGGTTATGGTGCTTAGTACATACCTTTAATAGTGAGTTTTCACAAGTAAATAATCTTCTTTCAAAAAATAGTCAAATAGTTTAATCAAAAAGAAAGTTCAATTCAGTTCAGGTGGAGTTTTTATTTCAACTCTGCTGTTTGTTGTTTTGGTCTAAATTTTACAAGTCCTTTATCAGTTAGCCACAAATCGGTCCTATATAAATCTATCCTTATGGACAGCTGTATATTATAATCCTTTTAAATGCTCTGGATTTCAATAGACCTTTTTTCATTTCATACAATTTGCTATGTGAAGTTATTAAATAACTCTTGCTTTTTAATCTTTTGTGTAAACTGAATGGATTTAATAAAGAATAACCCACCAAGCAGATGGGTGGGGATGATCACTGCATTATGATGACAGAAAATCAAAGTATCTCTTAAATCTTCAAAATTGTGTAACCCAGGCATCAGTCTATACTACCAATTCACTTAGTGGTACTCTTTATTATGTAACAGGAATGGGCTGGAGATGCCATTTTAATTTAGAAAATTCGAATTTTTTTTTCTGTTTATCATTGCAATTCTAGATTGGGTTTAAGAGTATTTCCATTTCAAATGGAGACGTAACTGCTTTTGTGGGATTTATTTATCCTCATGTTAACACTGAAATTCTTAAAATGACACAACTAGTACCATAAATACCACAATTCGTTGTAGTGGTTATGGTGCCAGGAGTGCCTTTTGTAGGGAGCTATACCCTGCAGGCTTTGCTCACTGACTGAGAGAGCTCATTGCCTTGCTTAGCTCAGGATATCTAAATGAAGATTCTGTATAGACACTTCCAGGTTGTTATTAGTGAAGATGGGGCGCAATGTCCAGTGGATGTCATATCACCATTCTAAAACAGTTTGCGTTCTAACAATGTGGGGAGGGCATTCCTTGCACCATAACCACACTATGGTTATTTCATACTTACTAATCATCTCTGCCCACCTCTTGATCTGGTAAAGGGGGCAGGTCTTTCCAGCAAGGGGGCCAGGCATGTTCAGCAAGAAGGTGGGCATAACTCTAAAGAGAGTGGCCAGGCTGACTGACAGCCTGCTCCCTTAATGAGGACCATGCATGGAGCACTGCTAAAGCACTCTGTGCATGGTCCTAGTGCCCAATTCACTCCCACATTTTGAAATCTGCCAGAAGCTTTCAAAATGCAGGACAGGTATGTCCCTGGGACTTATTTTTGCTGGGACAGTACCCCAAAATGTGACTGTCCTGGTAAATGCAGGACTGTTGGCACTTATAGTTATGGTACTTATATTTCCATGGTGGGTTACAGTGTAAACAAGGTAGAAGAAATAAGAGTGATATAGAAGAATGTGATATGCATTTATTACAGGGTGATAGCATTAAGGAAAGTGAGTCATGGAGATAGTGATAGCTCGGTGGTTCATAACCTCTGGGTTGGAACCTAAATTTAGGTTCTATGCTACAGTGAGGGAAAAAAGTATTTGATCCCCTGCTGATTTTGAACTTTTGTCCACTGACAAATAAATGATCAGTCTATAATTTTAATGGTAGGTGTATTTTAGCACAGAGAGACAGAATAACAAAAAAAAACTAATCAGAAAAACACATGTCAAAACAGTTATAAATTGATTTGCATGTCAATGAGTAAAATAAGTATTTGATCCCCTATCAATTAGCAAGATTTCTGGCTCCCAGGTGTCTTTTATACAGGTAACGAACTGAGATTGGGAGCACTCTCTTAAAGGGAGTGCTCCTAATCTCAGCTCGTAACCAGCATAAAAGACATCTGTCTACAGAATCAATCATTCAGATTCCAAACTCTTCACCATGGCCAAGACCAAAGAGCTGTCCAAGATTGTCAGGGACAAGATTGTAGACCTACACAAGGCTGGAATGGACTTCAAGACCATCGCCAAGAAGCTTGGTGAGAAGGTGACAACAGTTGGTGCGATTATTCACAAATGGAAGAAATACAAAATAACTGTCAGTCTCCCTCGGTCTGGTGCTCAATGCAAGATCGCACCTCATGGAGTTTCAATGGGCATGAGAATGGTGAGGAATCAGCCCAGAACTACACAGGAGGATCTTGTTAATAATATCAAAGCAACTGGGACTTTAGTCACCAAGAAAACAATTGGTAACACACTACGCCATGAAGGACTGTCCTGCAGCACCGACAAGTTCCCCATGCTCAAGAAAGCACATGTACATGCCCATCTGAAATTTGCCAATGAATGATTCAGAGGAGAACTGGGTGAAAGTGTTATGGTCAGATGAGACCAAAATCTAGTTCTTTGGCATTAACTCAACTCGCTGTGTTTGGAGGAGGAGGAATGCTGCCTATAAGCCCAAGAACACCATCCCCATCGTCAAACATGGAGGTGGAAACAATGCTTTGGGGGTGTTTTCCTGCTAAGGGGATAGGACAACTGCACCGGATCAAAGGGACGATGGATGGGCCATGTACCATCACATCTTGGGTGAGAATCTCCTTCCCTGAGCCAGGGCATTGAAAATGGGTCATGGATAGGTATTCCAGCATGACAAGGACCCAAAACACACAGCCAAGGCAACAAAGGAGTGGCTCAAAAAGAAGCACATTAAGGTCCTGGAGTGGCCTAGCCAGTCACCAGGCCTTAATCCCATAGAAAATCTGTAGAGGGAGCTGAAGGTTCGAGTTGCCAAATGTCAGCCTTGAAACCTTAATGACTTGGAGAGGATCTGCAAAGAGGAGTGGGACAAAATCCCTCCTGAGATGTGTGCAAATCTGGTGGAAAAACTACAAGAAACCTCAGTGATTGCCAACAAGGGTTTTGCCACCAAGTACTAAGTCGAAGGGGTCAAATACTTATTTTACTCATTGACATGTAAATCAATTTATAACTTTTTTTTTTATAACTATTTTTGTATTCTGTCTCTCACTGTTAAAATACACCTACCATTAATTATAGACTGATCATTTCTTTGTCAGTGGGCAAACATTCAAAATCAGCAAGGGATCAAATACTTTTTTCCCTCACTGTATTTCAATTGATTCTCAGTGGATTAAACAGAAACTTCACATATCATTTCACATGCACCTACTTGTAAAGTTTCTCTAGCCGCCCTGCCTTCCCAAGTGCATGAAAAAGCCCAGCTGACTTTGGGAACAGTCTAATAAAGTTGTTTTGTTAAATTTATTTTAGCTCTTCCCGTATTAAGTATTTCTTCCTATAAACAAATATTAGCATAACATATATGTGAAACATGCCATGCATAGTGAATATTGTTTATCAAACAAACTTAAAGATGAAAACCGAAGAAAGTGACCGAATTTAATTCGAACATGCATGGACAAACTGTGGGCATTCGGTCTGCATGAAATTCGGTCAATTTACCAGAGCTGTGTCTATAAGACAGATTGTTCAGGAGTAGTGAAAGGGGGCATCGCGAGAACATGGCCAATATGGCCAACAGTTATGCATAAGACCAAGGAACAAAAATACAAGAAAATAAAGTAAAAGAGAGAACCAAAAAATTGTAGGAAACAAAGGAAATATATTAAAGATTTAAAATTTGACTGGGAGTATATAAGAAGAGAGAAAAGAAAAAGAATAAAGGATAAGAATAATACAAAAAAAGGATTCCCTTTAAAAACTATGGATGAAAGAAATATATGAGTACTAAGGGTATAATAATGGAATGAATTAAGATTTTAAATCAGAGT